CTGCGGCTGCTGGCCGCTCACGCTGGCTGCTCACGGTAGCCCATGACAACCCACTGCCACAGGGGCTGCAGCCTATGCCGTCGCTGGCAACTCATGGCAGCCCAGCTCCAGGTTGAGCTGTTGTTCAGCATCTTAGCTGTGGAGGGCAGTGTCACTGGCCTTCATATGGGGGATCCGAACCGGGGCCCTCTGGAGTCCCAAGCCAGTTCTTAACCATCGCGCCACTCGGCCGGCCCGGTCGTATCCACTTTTTATCACTGGTTAGTGGGGTACACATTTAGCAGAGAACTCACTCACCTACACCCTCTACACACACAAGCAAGCAAGGTCCTGGCTCTGACCAAGCTGCACGTCTTAAAGGTTTGAGTTGCTGCTTATGGAAACCTTTCTCCTTGAGGCTGGAGATGGATGCTTTTGAAATGAAACACCACAACTCTCTAGAAGGCATTGCAGCCTAGTTTCTAGGCAGTGAGCATTGTGGGACTTTGGACAAGTGAACCGCACAGTGCCTCAGTGTTGTAATCTTTAGAATGGGGTTGCCTCCTAGAGTTCTGTTAGAATGAAAGTTCATGTCACATAGTAAGTTTCCACCAAATCCAGGGATTCCGTATCTACCAGTATCGTTACAAACAAACCCAAACACTCCCCTTCCTTGACAATGAAAAGTGCCGGCCAATTCCTTGGAGTTGAGAAAATGCCGAGGCCCCTGTCAGTTGTCCCACAGGCATTGTGTCATTGGTGGGTCCTCGAAGTGGTGGGTCGAGGAACAAGGATCAATGTTCAAGGAAGGCTAGCAGGGCAGCCCTGCCGGCAGGGACAAAGGGACAGTTTGTTACCACTGGGTAGACAGACGCTTCTATTGCTGCCCTGATTTCTTCGAAGAGCTGGTAGGCAGGACACTACTGGTAGGCCTATTCCACCACTGGCCGTGGAGCCCGGAAAAGCCCCCAAGCAGAGCTCACCGGAGCCGTGAGACGAAGCTGGCTGGTTCCGTGGGACCCACATCCCGCTTTTTTTCTGCAAAGGTCTCCTGAATGTGTCTCCTCCCACCCCAACGCCAGGCCGGGCCCGTGTCACAGGTTCCCCAGTGCCCTTCACAGCACTTATCACAGCTTGTGACGCAGCCTGAGAGTATGACCCCCATTATAGATAGCAGGCCCTGTCAGGCAAGGACTGCACTGTTTGGTCACACTCATCCCAGCCTTAATGAACTCCAGGACGCAGTGCAGTGCCGGCACCTTTATGCGTTCAGCACACCGTGGTGACCTAATGTGTGCAGGCACAATGTGAGGGACTGGCCAGTGACAGCTGACATAGGGTCAGGCTCCTACCCTCCAAGTGCCTGGTGTGACGGGCCAGGAAACACTTGTTCATAGAAGGGGTGAGAGCTGAGTTCCATGCTCGTGAATTTGGGGGTCGGACGTCCAGGCTGTGGTCCTGGTGGGGTTACTCACTGGCCGTGAGACTTTCAGCCTGTTTCTCAATGTCTCCTAAGCCTCAGAGTCCTTGTCTGTACAATAAGGACAGGAGAGGCTTTTAGAGATGCCGTGGGTACTAATGCAGACTGTGGAGTCCAGGCACCTAGCATGATGTTGGACATGGCAGGAAGCCAGCCAGCGGCCAGCCGTTCATTACTATTGTATGTCTGGGGAATTTACAGCACGCGAGGCTCTGTGGTCACTGAAGGGGGTGGGGACAGAGACAGGCAGAGTGTTACAGTGACTTTTGCACCAGAGGAAGGTGTTATGGTTTCATCATAAAGACGTCCTTGGAGCATTTTTAAATAGGCACACAGCCGCGTAATTTGCATTCTGAAAAGATCAATGTGGCTGAAGCGGGACCAGATCGGGAAACCAGGAGGCCAGTTAGGAGGCGACTGCAGGTGTCCAGTGAGAGGTGATGGTAGCTGGGACCAGGTGGTGACAGTGGAGCAAGGCCTGATTTCTCAGTCATCTCAACAGGCTGTTAGCTACACAGCTGAACACCAAATCTCACGGGCTAGAAGAGTTTTCTTTCCTGTTTTTGTACTTTTTTTTTTCCCACCAAAGAGTTTCAAGGTTTTCTTTTTTTTATTATTATTCAGAAAAGAAATACATTTATAGAGTCACATTGTAAAATAATTCAACAGTCCAGAAGTATAGAGAGGAAAATGTGAAAGTCCTTTTGCTAGCTTGTAACGTGTCGATTCGGCTAAGCTGCACTACATTTCCCAGAATCCCCTTTTTTGTTTGTTTCCTGTTACGGGGGCCCACAAGGGACATTCTTGGGAGTTTTGGCAGGTGACAGGGACGCAGCACCCTTTTAGGGCACACACGTTGTTGCTGATTCACCTCCTCCTGTGGAGCCGCAGCTGGGCCTGCGGCTGCTTCTCCTGTCCTCCCTGTCCGCTTCCCTGATGCCTGGGCCAGGTGTGTGTGTCTGCTCCGTGATGAAGGGTCCCCCCATCAATGGTTGCCAGGTGCAGTAAGAACTGGCATGGGGTTCCGTCTGTTCTTGCAGGGCTGCAGATATGATTGGGGGATCTAATCTCTTGAGCACCCCCACTTTACCTGCATCACCCCGTCCTGACTGCCTGCCCTGGGACTTCAAGCTCCAGCATAAGCTGCAGAGACGGCCTGACCAGCCGCCACAGAGGCGTAAGGACCAGTCCCTTTACAGGGAGGGGTAGGCGCGTCTGCCAGTGGCTCTCCTTCTCCAGCCGGACCCTCGGGAGGCCCCACCTCCTCCCCGTCCCCAATTCCACCGCCTTTTCCAGGGTTACCATTCATAACAGTTTGGGAGGTAGCCTTGTAGTCCTGTTCCTAGGCATTTACACACAGAACATGCACGCACACACGTTTTCCCCCCACACATGGGTTCACGTTTTATTGATGTTTGTAAACTATATATATAGTTTACTGTATATTTTGGATCTTTCCATGTTAATATATATATAT